AGAGTAAGACATTACTTGGCAACCTCAGCTTACGTTTCAAGAGAGAAAGCGACCAATGGCGGTATATAAACTTGGAGGTCCACACTTTGAGGTGGAAAAACTTGATGGAGGCAATGACTATATCTTATGGAAGCAACGAGTCACTAGTGTAATTAATGCCATGGGTTTGGGTAAGTGCTTAAGTCCCGAACTAACGACGTAGATGATGATGACTAGAACGTCATCCAATATCAGACGGTTAGCATTGTGGTATTGTATCTCAAACCAAATATCTTCAAGCAAATGGAGTTTGCATCAATGGTTGCAGATTTGTATGTAGCATTGCGTGAGAAGTACCATAAGAAGGAGCTTTCAAATTGGTTGTACATAATCATGAAACTTACCCGCTTCAGTATGGCAGAAGGTATTAAGATCTAAGACCATGTAGATGATTTTAATAATTTGGTTGTGGATCTTGAAAACCTTGGAGAAGATTTGAGTGAAAAGAAAAAAGAAATGTAGTTGCTAAGTTCTTTGCTTGCGTCTTATCAGTCCTTGTCATAAATGTTGTTTCACCATGACAAGAAAATCATCACTTACGATAGAGTTATTACTGCTTTATTAACCGACAACATGCAACACAAGTTGTTGGTTTCTATGCATGTCTCTTACAACCAATCCACCTCATCGTCTATTGTCTTGACAATCTCTCGTGGTAGGACATCTACTAAAGAGAAAGAGAATGCAAAGACCAAGATCAAGTCTAGATCCATGTCTAATTCTAGAGATGATAAGAACATCAAGTGTTTCAAATAGGCCAAATCTGGTCACATCTGCAAAGATTGTCTTAGTAAGGCAACCAATGAACACTCGGCATGCATTGTAATTGAAGATTCCGGTTATGCCCTTTGTAATTATGTCCATGTTTGAAACAATGAATAAATTTTAGATTCAGCTTGCTCTTAGCACATTTGTCACGCTAAGGAGTTCTTTAGATCTTACACTCTGTCAAGCGGTATAGTTTTTATAAGATGTGATCAGCCCATTGTTGGCATCGGATATTTGAAGATTTAAATGTTTGATGGATGATTTGTACCTTGATCAATGTATGGCACATTCCTATTATGTGTACAAACTTGATTTCCCTTGGAGAATTATACTTGAAAGGGTTCAAGTGGATCATCAACAGTGAAATTTTGAATCTAATGAATGGTTTTCACATTCTCATGAGGAGTTCAACGCTGAAAAGTCTGTACATCTTTGAGAGTACAATGATTTTTGGAGAGACACATATTACTACTTCTCCGAATTTGAATTCTCATTTGTGGCACAATGGATTGGATCACATGAGTGAAAAGGATGTGGCCAGTTTACACAAGCAGAGTTTGTTGCCCGGAATGAAGCAATGCAAGCGCAAATTTTGTGAGCACTATATATTTGAAAAACAGACAAGAATTACATTCGACGTTGGAGTGCATACCTCATTGGCTATTCTCGACTACATTCATTCTAATGTGTAGAGACCTTTCACTTCTCCCTCACACTCTAGAAAGATATACTACGTTATTTTTGTGGATGACTATTTGAGATTTGTGTGAATTTACTTCATGCAACAAAAGTCAGAGATCTTTGCAACTTTCAAAAAATTATAAAGTCCTAGTTGAGACCCACATTGGAAGAAGGTGAAATACTTGCGCACAGTACAACTTAACGAATATCATTTGTATTGCAAAAGAGATGGTATCATTTGTCATTTCATCACATCGTATACTTCAGAGCAAAATGGTGTGTATGAGAGATTCAACAACACACTTATGAAGCACTTTCAAATTATGTTGAATCTTGCTGATATACCTCATACGTTTTGGGCTGAAGTAGTGAATACCGCAGCTTACTTGCTAAACATATCTCTTAATAGCTCTATCAAGTTCAAGACACTGTTTGAATTGTGGTACAAACAATTTGATGATTACTCTATGTTAGGAGTTGTTGGTTGTGATGCTTATGCTCTTACTCCGAAGTATAACAGAAATAAGCTTGATCCAAAAGCCAAGAAATGTGCTCTACTTATAAAGGGATATACGTTGTGGGATGTAAATGCTTGCAAACTCATGGCAGTAGTAATTTTTCATTCAATGAATCCAGATCATTGAATGAGATGGAGAAAATGCAGATTCTCATTATTGACAAAAGCAAAACTATTGCTCCTGACACGATTTAGGAGGAGATTGACATTGACACCAATGATGATGAGCCATAAGGAAAGGTTCCACCTTTTGTGAAACAATACGAGCTGATTGCTAGTGAGCCAGCACCAACACAAATTGATCAAGTAGAATCTTAATCAAGGCGGTAGTTGTGGAGTTCAGTTGAACGTCAAGTTTTGTCTAGGTATGACACTTGGTTTGATTTCTCAATCATTGATGATATTGAAGTTGATGCTTAGGATTCACATGAAGCCTTGATCATGAAATATAGAGTTCCATCTTCTTGTTCTAAAGTTCTATCTTCAAGTGAGAAGCGGCAGTGGAATGCAACAATGTAGAAATCACTTCTTGCTAAAAACACTTAGAAACTTGTTGAGTTGCTTCAAGAATAAACATTTGGTGGATTGTAAGTGGGTTTACATGAAGAAGTATAGATCCATGAATAGAGATGAAAAAATCTTCAAGGGTAGAATGGTAGCTAAGAAATTCACACAACACAAAATTGTGGACCACAATGAAGTATTTGCACAAGCAAAGTACTCTCCAATATGTTTGCTATGTGTTCTTGTGATTCAACATGATCTAGTTTTTGATCAGATGGATGTTGTCATAGCTTAACTCTATGAACTACTTAATGAAGTGATATTCATGAAACAACCCCAAAGTTTTCTCATGAAAGGAAAGAAAGTCATGGTATGCAAGTTGCTTAAATCATTATACAATTTAAAGCAAAGTTTTTAACGGTGAAATAAACGTTTCAAAAACTTCATGCACTTACAAGAATTATTATGGAATGTATATGATCCTTGTATTTACTTGAAGAAGATTTTTGATGCGACATTTGGACTTATCATTCTTGTCATGTATGTTGACGATAGGCTTATTGTAGCTCCCAGAAGATCTGATGTTGATAAGTTGAAGTCTCAATTGAGCTTCAACCTATCAGCATGAAGGATCTAGATCTAGTCAAGAAGATTCTTTGTACGGAGAAATTTTGGCATTAGAAAGCAGGAAAGCTTTGGTTATCTCAATAGAAGTATGCAGAGAGGATACTTGCCAAGTTAAACATGGTAGAAGCTAAACCTGTGAATACTCTATTGTTGCTCATTTTTTACTTTCAGTAGCGCAATGTATTGCAGATGTCGTTGAGATTGGCTTAATGTCTTCTATTTCCTATGAGAGTGTAGTGAATAGTCTTATGTATTTGATGGTGTGCACAGGACTGGATATAGCTTTTGTTGTAAGAAAGGTGAGTAGCTACATTTCAAATTCAAGCAAAGTGCATTGAAAGGCAGTGCAGTGAATACTTAGATTTCTTAAGGGTTCTACAAGACATGGCTTATTGTTTGATGCCAAAGCAATAAATGCCAAGTCACTTTAGGGATATGTGGATGTTGATCTAGGGGAGATTTGAACAAGAAGAAATCAACAAATGTGTATGTTTTCACTCTTACAAATGACTGCATTAGTTGGAGATCTAATCTTCAAAAGTGTATCTCTTTGTCATCCACGGAAACTGAATACATTGTAGTAACAAAGTTGACGAAGGAAACAATCTGGTTAAACAAGCTTATCACTAAGATGAGATTGCCTCAACAGGATATCAATATTCATTGTGATAGTCAGAGTGCGCTTCATCTTGCTGAGAATGAGCTGATTGATAGTAGGGTGAAGTCCATTGACAGTAGATACCACTTCATCAAGCAGGCTTAGATTAAGAACTCACTTCAGTTCATCAAGATTGATGGAGAACTTTATGTGATGGCTTGCAGCACATAAATTCTTTCAATAATGTTACAAGAATGAGATTTCAAGTAATGTGGCAAAAAGATGGGCTCTTCCCATCCTTTTTGCTATATTATCACTTACCCATCAAGATAAGAATGTTAACACGAGGGAAGTAACCATTACTTCACATCCATCTATACCTCCGTTAATTTTCCAATCTATAGGGCATGTATTCAGTAGATTTAAAATGCTAACTTTGGGTGCACAATAACCTTCGATTGATCGTGAGGTGGTGATCGCGAACCTTCGAGAAGATAATGTATATCATCGAGAACTTGTCATAATGGGTCAAAGCCGGCCCTCTTTCGAAATTCAACAGTTCTTTCTTCTTAGAAACCTTCCATGAACCAATAGGCTCGAAAGAATTACTCTACGGATAAGTAGACAATTAAATCTTACAGCCTGACCATGACTTCTCCAGATTTGAGATTTGGTACCTCGGAATCCCGAAGCGCATCATCTGCTTACACTCGTTGGGTCAAGTCAAGAACGCACTTTTGTGATCATGAAGGAGAACTTAGTCCTCCAGCCGTAGATAGATAGACATAATTAACGGCTAGTACGTTCACTGGCGTCTGCAATTCTCTGTCATCAGGGCCCAGCAACCGTGAAGGAACCAGACTTTTACAGAGTAGCGTCTGCTGCTGCTGCCTGGAGAAGGATTACAAGGAAAAGGAAAATCCAGTGTTCTTTTTGGCGAGAGAGCGATTCTTGTCACTTCTTCTATGTTTACCGACCTTTTGCTACTGTCTGGATCTTAGATGCACCAATGCCCGCAAGTATTTTGTCTCAGTGAAGTGAAGAATGAAGCGATTCGGAGCTAGATTCCTGACTTCGAAAGAATGATCCTGTACGATCATATAAAGAATGAATGTTGAATTACGAAAGACCTTCGAATATAGGCTCTACCATACAACGAGTTACATAGTTCATTCTACTTTCCAAAAGCATTTTTTGACAAACTCTGCATCAAAGAAGTTGGCGTAAAGACTCCACAACAGTATACAACATGGATTCATTCCATAACTCGGTGAAGACTTTATTCCAAATTGTCCATGTGTATGTGTAAATACGAGTTTGGAACTCGGCTTCTAAAGCCGACAGTGGTGGATCAACAACCAGAGGAAGCTCTAACCTTTGAGCCGTATCCAGTACTGCCCTCGCCAGAATCTCTGGAGCTCGACGCAATCCGATACCGGGTGGTTCTAAAGCCTATCTAAACAGATTCTGAACGTGGTCAGAATTTAAGTTCAAATTTTCCAGCCGATCTCACGATCTTACCACCCGTGAAAGCACATAAATATCTGCGCTTAGTCACGCTTCGTACAGTCTCGAAGTCAGCAGAACCCTGTTGAGACATTGGGACAATCACAAACTACAAAGCCATCGGCCATGCCAATTTTCCAGCCAATCTAACGATCTTCCACCGGTGAAAGCACATAAATATCTGCGCTTAGTCACGCTTCGTACAGTCTCGAAGTCTGCAGAACCCTGTTGAGACATTGGGACAATCACAAGCTGCAAAGCCATCGGCCATGCCACATCTACGTTTTAGACCAAGCCTCCTCCCTCACTGATGTCGAAATTCAGTTGTACAGCATTTCACAAGTGCATCGGGCTGAATAAGGAGACTCAGCAATAGAAGAACCATTGTATGCAATGCAAGAGGGTGGGTCGAGAATAAAGTAAAAACTCAATTCATGTGAATCTGGAGCAGACGTGGTAGAGAGTCATGAGTACCTATGACTTTGAAATGTCTCGTCCCACTCAAGTTCGGAATCCTCTACCAAACAGGACGAATGTCTTGGGGTTTGGAGGCATCTGCGCGGAAAAGTATATCGCCAACCGTCATGCCAAACGAACGAATGTTTGCATGTGACATCACTAGGTTATAGAGACTTCTGGAAACTGTGAAATTTCATTTTCTGCAATTCTAATCCGTAGTATTTCCCTGAAATGTCGAGACAAGATCATGGAAGAACGCTCGTATGCAATGCAAGATGGTGGGTCGAGAATAAAGTAAATACTCAATTCATGTGAATCTGGAGCAGACGTGGTAGAGAGTCATGAGTACCAAAGACTTTGAAATGTCTCGTCCCACGCAAGTTCGGAATCCTCTACCAAACAGGACGAATGTCTTGGGGTTTGGAGGCATCTGCGCAGAAAAGTATATCGCCAACCGTCATGCCAAACGAACGAATGTTTGCATGTGACATCACTAGGTTATAGAAACTTCTGGAAACTGTGAAATTTCATTTTCTGCAATTCTACTCCGTAGTATTTCCCTGAAATGTCGATATAAAGAACTCAGTTCTTACCACGAAACGGTCCGGGTGGAAATTCGAAGACCCCTGATAATGTTCGGGGTCCTGATGAATTTGGCTCAGGACTGCTAGAAATTCTCCAGCCCTTTGAAACCTCGAATATTCATGGAAAATTCCCTAAAATTCCCTAATTTAACCTGGAAAAATCATGAAGATCACCCACATTCATCAAAAGTAACTACACCTCTATTAGTCCACACTGAAGATTCGAGATCCTCACACAACGTAGTAGCAATAATGTCTGCTCTAGTAATGCTCATAGTAATGTTCTATGAGAAAACCGCCCAAAACTGACGTCCTTCTCGCCATTTCCAAGGAACGTACCATTTAAGTTCACATACATGCTTGCTGTTCTTGATACTCCCGGCGCTATGCTCGCTATTCGAAGTTCCTGGCAATACACCTAGGGGATGTTGTCGTCGCGACATCAGATCAGAAACTTCCGGCCTTACAACTGAGGTGATGATTAAACATAATTGAAACTCGACATATCTGAAGTTGTGTATAGAGCTAAGAAAAGCATCCTATCCTCCCGTCAGCATGTCATGCGTAGGTTCGACATCGTCCTGAACTCACTTGAACTTTCTGCAGAATGGTTGGATTCTCTGCAAGGTACTTGACAGCTAAAGCTGAAATCTTGGTCGACGTGTGAGCAAGAAAAGTGCCCACTGAGATGTCACAAACTCCCGCATCTGAGAACTTCATACCATCAACCTCATGCTCGAGATGATTCTGCTAAGGGAATTTGTCCAACTTGGCATACTTCAAGCCTTCAGCAGTTTCGGAGTCCCTCAACGCCCCAATAATAGGCATCAGCAACGCGTTGAGTTGGCTCCTGCCTACACAAAATTAATCACGTACCGATACATTGTAATAATATAATATATTGTACGAACTCGATAACAGGTCAAGCAAATGCAGTACTCATCTATAACACCTCTAATGTTACGTGACTGAATGTCATGCCAGCCCATTCAACGTGTGAATGAAAAATCTGGTCCATCAACCTACGGACAACAATGCCTCCTCATGACGTGTAGTTGCACGGCCTTGTAGAAGGTAGTTCCCGGCACTTGTGATCCCCACGAGAGCTAGAAGAGAGACAATGATAGTCATCGTTTCTAAGATTATCTGCATCCAGGAAACATTTCAAACATCATATGATAGTCGCACTGCATATATCACAAACTCAGAAACATCCTCTCAGACTGATGGAAGTAAAACTCGTAAGCAATTGCAAGAATATATATGTAAAAGCATAATAAATCGGTTGAGGCTTTGTTCAGAACTGAGCATGAACATTTTACTGCTGATCCCTTCCATTCCATCAGTCTCTCTGTCTTGGGGCACAGTACTTCCTTTCTTCGTTCCGGAAGCATCTGTTGGGCTTTTGGGCCCGAATATCTGTTTCGAAGCCCATGGAGTGCCATTATCTAGACCTTTGTGTGGATCCTCGAAGGAAAACTTGAGCTCGTCCGTTTTCATCATAATAATGCTCGGTTTCAGAAACAAGTACAGTACCTCTTGAACATAGTTCCGAACCTGGCGTTCATTAGAAATTCCAAGATAGAAAGTCATGACTTTTCTTTCCAGAGTGGATTTTGGAGTGCTCGAGTGGCAGTTAACTCAACTATATTGATGAAGGTAAGCCTTGGTATGTGATAGTTGTCTCAGACAAATCGTGATAGTGGATGACCTGCTCCTGGAGGGTTTCTCTTGGGGTTAGGTGGAGTAGCACATAGGACTAGACTAGTATGAGGAGAATCAGGCGGTGAACTGCCGTTTGTAGAGTTACCAACTTGGTAACTCTACAACTCATTGTAACTACTGTGGCAGACTTAATCACTAGCAATAAGATTGTGATCTCAAGAAACCAGACGAGCAGATTTTGCAGCTCCAACTCAGGGCCTTCAAAATGTGGCGCGTTAAGCTATAAGCTAACGCTGTTCTAGATTAGGACAATAGTGGAGATGACTTGGCTTACTGTAAATCAGTAGACTTAGAAGCCAATAAAGCAATTAGAAAATTGCAAGATTAACTCTTAGATTCAGGTGCTAGCAGTCATGTGACTGGTGACAAAACTACTTCTTATTCATTTCAACCTAGAATTTTTTGATCTAGACTTTTCATTGCCAATGGAACTCGTTCGACTGTTGTTGGAAAAGGTACATTATGTGTTGACACAAATAAAGAGATAAAGTCTACCTTTTACGTGTTTGGTCTTATCAAAAACTTGCTATTCGCAGGTAAACTGACCGATTCGGGGCATTTTGTGCTTTTTAGTACTGCTTATTGCTTTGTAATTAATAAGATCAATCTCAATAGCATCTACTTATATGGCTAACGTGACCCGCACACCAAACTTTACAAATTACTTTCCAAGCTGTATAGAGTCAATATGCAACCACTTCGACTTGTGTTTAAGCTCCTTTTGTTGTAGAAGGAGATAGCCTACATATCTGCAGATCCCACCTTTGTGGCTCAAATAGAGGATTACATTGAGTTAGAGTGTACATCTTTTGATGCCTCCAATTTGTGGCACAAGCGCATGTGTCATTCAACATCAGACGACCTACCACATGGCTTTTAAGGGTTTTGTTCATGACTTTTCTCCGCTAGCTGTGCACAAAGATTGTTAGTGTGAAGCATGTGTGCTCGCGAAGCAGCACAAAGCTCAAAGACCCAGACAAAGCAAGAAAAAAACTACACGGCCTTTGGAACTTGTTCTCAATGATTTTTGTGGTTTAGTTGAAGCAACAATTGACTTCAAGTACATGTTGACCTTCTCTTGCAATTACTTGATTTACTTCGGTTTGGTTTCATCGCCTAAAAGGTGAAACTTTCTATCACTTTAAGCAATTTGTCTTGCTTGCAAAAAATTCCTACCACATAAAGTTGCTGATGTGTGGCACACCGAGCACGATTGGTAACCACAAGTATTGTCTTTTTAGAAAGACAAAGGAGGTAAATACCTTTCTAAGGACTTCAAAAGCAATTGTCGACAAAAGTGTATTGCTCGATAATTGACTACATCACAACTTTCCACCAAAACAGCATCTCAGAGAGTAAGAATCAAACTCTATTTGAAGCAGCAAGATTAGTGCCTTCTTAACTTCTTTGTTCCTCAGCATTGTCTTCAAACGGATGGACCAATTCATGTAGTTGAGTCGCCCAATGTGTTTCTCCTTGGCACGTAATGTGAATGCAAAACTGTATAAAAGTCCTTTCATGAAGTCTGGAAGGACGCACTATCTAGTGAAATACAGCTGAGCAACTTCTCGTTGACTAGCAAAAAAAATTGTGATTACTATCACAAATCATCAGCCGTAGAGGATCGAAAGAAGTCTCAGATACCATGTTGTGAGATACACACAATATGTTCTACTGAAGAGATAGCAACATTTAATAGTTGCTCACGGTAACATGCTGAGTGCAGTGATACACTCGACCTAAAACTTATGGCTTGGATTAACAATAGGAACTAATCAAAACAATAAGACAATAAGGTCAGCATCCTTAACTATAATGCTAAAGTTATCCTTGCTAATACACTAACAGCGTTTTACAACACCTGAAGGACTTAATATAGAGTCATAATGCTAATGCTCTAAAAAAGAACTGTTGAAATGAAATGATCTCTCTAAGGTGCTTCACTCACTCCTGAACTTTGATGAACTAGCTAGGTGAACCAAAAGCAGGAAAAAATTTCAAGCACTTCTTAGTATGATCTGCAAGCCATGAATCAAAAGGCTATTTGGTGATACAACTGATGAGCCCCAACGTTTCTCCTACAATCGGCCATCCTAACGACCCTTTAGATGAAATCATCCTATAACCTTGTAAGTGCCAACTCCAGCATCCTCTGAGTATAATTACTCCCATAAGTATCGTGACAATAAGATACAAGGCATTCGTACATCCCCGGAATTTTTTAGCTCCCAAACTACTCCTTCCATTTTCAACTCCGTCCTAAATTCTTTCAATTTCCAATCTAAAACTACTTCCACCCTCATGATTCACAAGACTGCATGCGCAGGAGATGAAGTCCTGGTATTTGGAGACTCTGATGTGTTACATTGATGCCTCACACTAATTTATCCTCTTATTTAAATATACTTCCAGGTATATGTACATGCCGTGATCTGATGTCATTTGAATTGACAGCATATCATCTTACTTCTATGACCAGGTCGACGAGGCCCAAATACTCATACAACTGGAGAATATATAGAATCCTATCAGCCCCGTACTAAGCTCGCTGGCACCCAAGAATGCGTGTAGCTTCAGCGTTACAAAAAGCACATCCTTCACCTTTGTGTCTTTCGAGAGCAAATGAGAAGGATGTGCTCTCGAAAGCTGTCCGATCAAAGCAACAGCCTCGACGAGTTTTGGCATCGAACGGGAGCAAATTGAGTTGATGGTTTCAGTTTCAAGGAAGACGATGGACTTCTATGAACGTGGTTACAGAGTGGAGAGGCCCGTAGAGGTTTGCGTCTTCGATACTCGAGATATCTTAAGCAAGAGCCATGAATTTGTTCTGAGTCGTCGAAACGTGCTCCTGAGAGCAATCTCCGCGCATGTGTATGGCATGCACAGACCTCAGCTACCATTCATGTTCGTGTGGTTGCGCAGTTGCAACAAATAAAAACTCATGAGCTTGAAGAGATGGCTTTGGAGAAAATGGACGTAGTGTAGAAGTACCTACATCGCCTTACTACGGTCGACCGGCAGCCACAAATGCACCAATCGTAAATATCGGTACAACGAGAGAGCAGAATTCAACCTCCAACTTATAATTTTCCGTCTGTCGACGTCAGTTCCTATTCAAACACCGTTTTGCCAATAGAATTAGACATTAGACTGATATCATCCTTGTTTACGTGAATGCAATAATTCTACTTCCATGTAAGCAAATTGGTAGAAGAACTGTGGATCGAACTATGTCTGTTAATGAAAATTAGAGGAAATAAATTAACACTTAGAACAGGAGTGCACAATAAGGGAGTACTGAGAGACATTAAACACAAAGTTTTCAAAATTATTATTAGGAAAATTTCAAATAAGTGAATTTCACATGAAATTTAACTTGGTCATCAATGTAAAAAGGATCACAAAAAAATTTATTCACCACTCAGTTTGACAAGGGATCTTTTCTTACAAACTCCAAATCTCACTTTGGATACACATTGACATTCTTCAGACACTACGTTTTCTACCCAATTGCTAGCAGATCGCCAGCACATAAGGCTCTAAAGTTCTTGATCTGAAACATTCTTACTTTGCTGGACTTACTTTACATAGAGAGGATAAGCTAGTTCATTTCTCAAATTGATAAATCAAATGTTTTTCTCGACTTGAAGATGTATGTAGTTACACATAAACAGATCTACGCACTGAGACGAGCATTTGATACATTCAGAAGTATTATCCTTGTTTATAGGTATATTTATTATTCATGACATAATTTAATCCAACAATGAAAGAGTCTCCACCTTGGCGTGTGACTTGCCTACGACTAATAAACTGCCTTTGGTGGAAGGAATCGAAATGAACAGATTGTTGAGATTGAAGAATCTTGATGACTACATGGTTTGGATATGGTCGAATCATTAAGAGTGAAGAAATTTGAACCAAGAAGATAGAAAATGAAGGATCACTTGAGATGCAATATGTGAGCAAAAGCATTAGTGGGTGAAAGAGTTAGGGAGGAATTGAGCTAAAGAGAGATGCCATTAGATGGAAAGATACATTGTTCAGGCTGCAGCTGATTCAGAATGAGCGCGTTTACGCTCAGATTCAGTCGACTCGCTACTTTCAAGAGACCCCGAGTCCTGCTTCTATGCTATCGGTAACCTGAGCTATAGAATGTCTCATAGTGATTCAAATTTAGTAAAGCAGAGAAACCAACTTTGGCGGCCTACAATGGAAGCAAATAGGAATGACATGGATCCAGCTGAACTGAGTGAAGTAAGAAAATTAAGTAGACCTTGGTAAGAGATTAGAATTTTTAGCATGTTTCTATTTCTTTTGTGTCAAGAGATGAAAAATCCTGTATACGATGATGTCTTTGAAGAAAGAATTGAACATGGTATAGAAGAGTTGTAAAATGTAGGCAACTGGATGTTTAGGTAAGATTTCAAAGTGAAAAATAAGCAACTGTGCACAAATTCCTCAGACTTGCATCATGAAGGAGTGAAGGATGATTGGATCAAGAAGGAGAGTACATATTTAATTTCAAATGTCATCGAGTATGACATTGGGGTTGATGATACCCTCGGTGTCTAATCCAAGATAGAAGGTGAAATCATTTTCAAGATATAAGAACGTTGACTTCACTCATTGGCAATGTGATTTGTATTGTGTGTAAGTTTCTCAATCCAAGACTTCCGCACGTAGACAAAGGAGATTACATAAAACACGTATTGGGTTCAAGCGCAATCACACAATACGCAAGAAGAAAGATGGCATTGATGAACAAAGTGATTCGATTTTGAGATTAAAATACGAACAGCAGATTTGATCAATCTGATTAAAATGTAAAAGAAAATTTCTTCAAATGTTAAATCATATGTTCTCACCAGATACCAATAGCTGACCAATATTATATGATACAATATTGTACAATATGATAATTGTAAAAGATTTTGTGAAAATATTGATATGTTTTTCTGCAAGAAAATATCAATCAATGAGATTATGTATGTTGATACAC